TTTATATTGATGGTGAAATACTATTTTATTTATTTTTTATTTTTTAAGTTTTTGTTTATTTATTTTGATAGAGAGAGCGAGCAGGGGAGGGGCAGAGACAGAGAGAGAGAGAGAGAGAGAGAGAGAGAGAATCCCAAGCACTACCCAATGGGGGGCTCCAACTCATGAACCATGAGATCATGATCTGAGCCGAAACCAAGAGTCAGACGCTTAACCAACTGAGTCATCCAGGCACCCCGTGAAATACTATTTTTAAACAAAGTGATGTATCACCACCAAAGGAGTAAGATGCTGGAACGTGATATCGTGGTAATGGTGTATTCATTCATATTCCACCTGTTTTGATTCATGAGGACATGTTTGGGGCTGAAGATTTTCTAGACTTAAGAGCTTTATTAATCTGAGCGCATAAATAGCAAGGCAAACTTGAAGGGGTATCTTTACATACTCGAGAAGGCGTTGCCGTAGGTGTGTTAGAACTTTCTCCGTGCAAAATTCCAGTACAAATCAATGGGAGACCTGCTTCTAAGCAGGAGCCTTAAGTCCTTCCGGTTAGAAGCGAGGTGTTAGCTGGGGGGTGATGCAGAAAGCTTGGAAGTTGCATCCTTAAAAGTGTTTCTTTTTTCCAGCTTTGTTGGGGTGTAATTGACATCTGACACCGGGGTGGGTTTAAGGCGGGCACCCCGTTGATTTGATACATTTATAGATTGCGACAGGATGCCCAGCCCGCTGTTAGGTGCCATCTTGTCCTGTCTCACAATTACTGTTTCTTTTTGGCACTGAGAACAGTGAAGATCTACGAGGGTGACTTGCGAGTATACGACACAGTATCAGTAGCTAGGACCTCCGCGCCGTGCATCGGATGCCCAGCCCTTGATAACCTTGTAGCCGGAAGTTCGTACCCTTTGAGCGGACATCTTCCCATTGCCTGCCCCCAGCCCTTGGTGACCACCATCCTGCTCTGTTTTTCAGAGGGTTTGCTATTGAGCTGACTGTCCTCAGCTACTGTCCTCAGTGAGTCTGGGCTGGTGGCTCCCTTGGGCAGGCTCAGTGCACCACCGTTTTTTGTTTTTTTTTTTTAATGTTTATTTATTTTGAGAGAGGGAGTGAGCAGGGAAGGGGCAGAGCGAGAGGGAGAGAGAGAGGGAGAGAGAGAGAGAGCTCCAAGCAGTTCCACACTGTCAGTGCAGAGCCCGGTGCGGGGCTCAAACTCACAGACGGTGAGATCATGACCTGAGCCGAAATCAAGAGTCGGATGCTTAACCAACTGAACCACCCCGCCCCCCTGCCCCGGGCGCCCCTGCACCACTGTTCTCGAAGTGGGAAGCACGTGCTGGCACCCTCTGCAAGTGGCTGACACCACACCAGTGCCCAGGGAACCCAGGGTGAGTGTGAACACGGCCCGCTCCGGCTTCGAATTCTGCGTCTCTGTCTTAGAAAAGCTGCTGGGCCTCTCTGTAAGGTGGGGGTAACGCCAAGACCCCCCCGAGACTTCCGGCTCAGCTTCAGTGGGACGCTCTATGCAGCCTGAGCCGGTCAGGGGCGTGTGGGCACGTCCGCCCTGCCCCTCCGTGGAGCTGGCCTCTTCGTTAGGCTTGGCTGCTCCACCTATCACAGCCTCGTCCGAGTACCTGTGCAGGGTGACCGTGAAGCAAGTAACGATCAGCTTTTCTTGGCCCCTCGGGGCTGAGCCCCTCGTATGGATCTTTTTCTACCTTTTGTAGATACCCCAGGTCACCGCTTGGCAGGCTGCCTGGGGTTTGGCCGGCCGAGCAAACTGTGCAGTGTAAACAGCGCGTCTGTCCAATACGGCTTCTTGCCGAACCCTTGTCCATGAGGTATTTATTGAGCACCTACTATACGATCAACGAACACAATCCTTGCTCTCATGAGAGGTTACAGCCTGGTGCATGCGAAAAGGTATTAATAAAATAATTATATCAAGTGCATCTCGGAAGTTCCAGTCCAGTAGGGCACCTGGGTGGCTCAGTTGGTTAAGTGTCTGACTCTGGCTCAGGTCATGATCTTGCAGTTCACGAGTTCGAGCCCCACGTCGGGCTCTGTGCTGACAGCTCAGGGCCTGGAGCCTGCTTCGGATTCTGTGTCTCCCTCTCTCTCTGCCCCTCTCCCGCTTGTGCTCTGTCTGTCTCTCAAAAATAAATAAAAACATTAAAAATTTTTTTAAAAGAATTAAAAAAAAAAGAAGTTCTAGTCCAGCAAGAGAGTGAAGTTGTTAAAAAGTAATTCTTTGAGTTAAGGCAGAGATTAATTCAAGTTGAATTAATTCAGTTGAATTAAACTGAGATTAATTCAAGCTAGAAAAGGGACAGGGGACTGCAGGCCACATGATGGAAGAGACTTTTATCTGTTTTATTTACCTGCTGTTGGTGGGGACCGGATGTGATCAGGGGTGGCCGCTGAGGCAGGACAGAGGTCTGCTTCAGCTGGGACAGCGAGCCCTGAGCAAATGTAGCGGCTTTACCAGAAGCAAAGCCCCCAGTTTATCTGACAGCAGAGTGGATGCATAGTCAGTCTCCGGAAATATCTGAAGTTTGAGACAATATCATTTTGTTACCTTTCGTGGTGATTCCATTCAGAATCCTGGGCTCTGATTTGCCACATGGCTTGCAGAGTTGGAATCAAGCTACAGATTTTATTCCTGGGGGGCCCGGCTGACGTTTCAGCGTCTCTCCTATTTTGTTCATGTTTATTTTGTGTTGGCTTTGAGTTTAGTCTTCGACTGATGGGTTTAGACCTAATGGGCTTAGCCTAATTGAGTTTAGACCGATGGGTCAGAAATCTGCGGAAGGAACTGCATGGGCGGAGGGCTCTCGGAGAGGAGGACGGACCCTCCCGGGACCCTCGAGGGGCTGCCGTGTGTCTGGGTGTGAGGCGGCAGGAGTGGGCGGGGCTGGGCTGCCGTCTAGGCCACTGTAGCCCGAACCCACCCCCGGCTGATTCTCCACGGAGAGCCTGCTCCCGGCCAAGTCGCTCGCGTCCTGCCTCAAGTCCTAAGAAATTGTGCTCAGTCGAGGCAGGCATTTCGAAACACTGGTGCTTCGATGGGTCATTTGCCCCTTCCTGTGTGTTTGGATGGTACACGGCTACTCATTCCTCGGGTGTTCATGAGGCACCTACTGCGCGTGCTGCCCTGCCCCCAGCCCCGAAGAGAAAAGATAAAAATGACAGCAGCGGTTCTCAGCCTTGGCAGACACCGGGATCACTTGGGGAGCTTAAAAAAACAAAAGCGAAAACAAAAACACAAAAACCATGGGTGGAAAACTTGAAACGCTTTATTTTTCTAAACCTTCTCTGAAACATTCTACGTTGACTCTGTAAGCATCATACTTGATGGAGAGACTCTTGAGTCCCGTAGAAGATGGCACTTCACGTGCCTCCCACGGTCCCCTGTCCCCAAGGGGCAGGAGCACCAGTGAACCCTTCTCTCCAGACCCGTAACCGACCCCCCCCCCCCCCCCCCCCCCCCCCCCCCGCCCCATCACTTCTGCTTAGAACAGCCTGGTTAGTATTTCAGACCCAGCCCGGTTTGTGCTGAGACTTTGACATGCTTTTCCTCTTCTTCAAAATTCCTTCCCTTCCTCCCTTCCCACAACCCTTGGGGGTTTCCCTCCTCCCCACCATGTTAAGGAGGGAGCAGAGATGTTCCTAAGACTGCCTGCCAGGGGTGGCAGTCTATATTTTTTTTAGAAGAAGGTTTCTTCCTAGAAGCGCCCCGGATAATGCACGGAGACAAAGTGGTGACCTTGGAATGCCACCAGTCTGTAGCTCCTCGTGAAACAGAGGGTCTGGCAACGTCTTCAGTGACCCCTAACATCACCGCGACAGCGCTTGGCCACTACTTGCCTTCTGAGGAAATGCAAGGTTCACTCACGAAGCATCCTGGCCAAGAGATGGCCTGTATCTGATCAGATCTCTGTTCGGAAGCACCCAGCTCTAGGAAACACAGCATTCACGGGACACACTCAGTAACCACAGCGGAAGCAAACAGCCAAACCCAGACTGGAAAGTCGCAGGACACTCTGATCTCTTGAACAAATGAATTACAAAGAGAAAAAGATTCCCCGTACATGTACTGAGATTTGCGGATGAAACAACGAGGCGTCTGGGATTGGCTTCGAACCAATCTTTGGTGGGAGGGGGTTTGGGGACGTAGGTGAAGCAAGACTGGCCATAGCTCAGTGTGCAAATGCAGCACGGTGCGCGAGGACGGTCTCCATTCTACTGTGGCAGGTGCCCGACGTTTTCTATACGGAAAAGATACGCGCGGTTTGCCCAAATTTGTTTTGATCACAGAGCTGTTTTCCTCCACGGCATATCTCTCTGGGTGCTGAGGCTTTAGACACAGTGGGAAGGACCAAAACGTCGAGGTCCTTGAGACACCAACTTTTTCTTTAGGTGGATAATTCTGAAACACCAACTTGAACCCGTGAGTCACAGAGACAGTACGTTGCCTCTCGGGTGTTTCAGATACTTTTTGGAATAAGTAATGGGTCTTTAAAAATTATTTATTGTTTTTGTTAAATTTTTTTTAATGTTTATTTTTGAGAGAGAGACAGAGCGAGAGCAGGGGAAGGGCAGAGAAAGAGGGAGACACAGAATCTGAAGCAGCTCCAGGCTCTGAGTGGTCAGCACAGAGCCCCACGCGGGGCTCGAACTGACGGACTGTGAGATCATGACCTGAGTCGAAGTCGGATGCTTAACCGACTGAGCCACCCGGGCGCCCCTAAGTAATGTTTTTTTTTAAAGTGAGAAGAATGGATTGAGGACAGTAAGCCCCTATGATAACTATGGGTCCTGCTGGGCACTGTCCGTACCCTTCCCAAACACGACCCCCAACCTAGTTCCTCACAACAGACCTGTCACCCGGGTACTGCTCACCCCACTCTACAGATGGGGAGACGGGGGGGGCAGGGGTATCGACCCAGGCTGCCTCCGACTCATTCATTCAACCTCCTGCAAATGCTGTCTCTTTGCAGGGCATGGCACAGGCCGGAGGTGTCCCCTGCCCCGGGGCTGCCCCGGGCCAGCCCCGCGTGTTCAAGCTGGTCCTCTTGGGAAGTAGCTCTGTGGGCAAGTCCAGCTTGGCTCTCCGGTACGTGAAGAATGACTTCAAGAGCATCCTGCCCACCGTGGGATGTAAGTGACATGGGACAGCACACCCTTCCTTAGTCCGCTAGAGGAGAAGCCAGGGCCGATGGCTCGGGTGCGGGCACTTCCCACGCTCCCCCCAGAGGCCCGGGTTGTGCCCAGCACCGCAGGGAGGGGACGAGGCCTGTGCTGGTCAGACACATGTGGAATCCAGAAGGCGGTCGGGTTTCAGCAAAGCAGGAGTCTGCAGGGGGTGGAGATTCGGGGTCAGGGCCTCAGGTCCCCAGGGGTTGGTGAGCGGGATTGTACCTGGTGGAGGGGGGAGCCCAGAGGAAGGCCCCCTAGGCCCTGCCACACACCCACCGGACGAGCTGGTCTCTCACCCTGCCTGGGTTCCCTCCCGCTGACGCTGTCCCCCTGGGGTGGCTTACAGGAGAATGGCTCCCTTTTGGCCCAGACTCGGTTTACCAGCCTGGCCTGGGTTGTGGGGGTGGGGGGCAGGGGGCGGGGTGGCAGGGAGGGAAGACCCTCTCACTGCACTTCTTGAAGAGGTGACATAGGTTACCCTACCTCTCAAGGGTAGGGGGCTTTGGAGCACCTGCCGGGCTGTCGGCCTCCTTCGCATCCCGCGAAGCATAGTCACTATGCTATTATAATTACTGCATCAATATGTATTACTATAAAAGTCGATATTCCCACTTTTCAGACGAGGAGGTGGAGACGATCCTTCCTGTGGTGTACGTAAATGCAGTCCGTGTTGTACAAAATCCTTCTGAAGGCAGGGGCTTGCCTTTCTTGTCACACACCGCTGGCTTTAACAAGAGAACTGGCTTTTGTTCTGGAGAGGGTGCGGGAGGAGCAGAGCCCCAGGGCGAGAGTGAGGGGCTCTCCTCCTCCCAGGCAGGTAGCTGGGACAATGACAGAGGTAGTGTGTGCTGGGGGGTGGGGGGGGTGATTGGCCTGGAGGAAACTTTGAATAAGTCTGACCTGAGTGACCAACACGTGGGTAAACGGCTTGTTGTCTCGTCTTGACATCGTCATCTGTGTGGGGTGGGGGGGGGGGATATAAACGCCCCCCTGTGGTGGGCTCTTCCTGCAAGGCGGGCTTAAGACTGTCTAAAGCACCGATCACCATCTTGTGACTAAGGTCGTCACCCACGCCCGCACTGCAGAGAGCAGGGTGGGACCAGGGGCTGGCTTGTCCGGGGTGCTGCTGCCTTCCGAGCATGCTGGCTTCAAGATACTTTACTCCAGGAGGGCCGGGGTCCCTGGGCCCCCCCAGGGGGTCTGGATCTGTTGGCGATCGCGTGCAGTGACCTGGCCGCAGAGGATGGCACAGGCTCTGGGTACCGCCCTCCGGAAAGGTGCCTGAGTCAGGACGGTGTTCTAGCTGTCTCAGGGCAAGACCCCCATCCTTCCAACCAGGGGATTCTGGAGCCAGAGCGGTAACTGGGACAGACAGACTCATGTCCCCGAAGCAGAGCCAGAGTGGGAATCCCAAGTGAGCATAGTCTCCTGCGGGGGTGGCAGCCTGCTGAGGGGAGACCAGAAAAGCCCTGGTTCTCCTGGCCACCCCAGCCACCCCCAGCCACCTACCTGCGAGGCCCGGGTCCCACTTCAGGGGAGAGCTTATTGGGGAGGTGGAGGCTCCAAGTGGGAGTGCTGTGGCTGGGGGGCTTGAACCACAGAGAGCTCCCGAAGACCCCACCGGGGTCCCCACAGAGCGACCCCTCATCCTGGAGTCCCAACTGGCCCAAGCCTGGGGACTCGGGCCCATTTCCCCAGCCTGCACGGAGTGACATCTTTTGGAGAAATGCTGACATCTAGTGGTTGTGGGCGTATTCGCCCGCGGGTAGCAGTGCCTCTGGCGGGAAGGGAAAGGCGGCAAGCGTTCTCCACTGTCGCTGCTGAACCCTGGTGGCCCCGAGAAGGCATCCATTTCTCCTTCAACCGGGGCTCCGATGATGATGTTTATGAAAAAGGCAAACGCCACGAAGAGGCTCAGAGGAGTGAGTCAGCTGTTTGTTGACATTAGAAGGAGAGCGATCACAACCACGTCCCTTATGTCAACGTTTGTAGAGACGCTTTTTAATCTGGGGCGATACCTTACAAGCCGGCGCGCAGATGGGGGCTGTTCAGGGCACCAGCTTCCGGGAGCCCCCCCCCACAGAGGGCGTGCAGCTGAGGCTGGGGCGTGGCCGAGGGGCGTGGCCGGAAGCGTCCTTGGCTCTGGGGCACCTGTGTTGAGGTCTTCGGTGGGACCAGCCGAGGAGGAG